GGCTGCCATGTGGCTATTTCGCCAGGATATGAGTTTTATCAATGGTGTCCTGCTTTACCAATGTTAAAATCTGGTCACCTTATGCTAGAGAAATCCTGTGGAGACCCCTGCCAGCACTGAGAAGCTTACACACTCACTGATTCAGCTTTGCTCCTGCATTCTGTGTTATTGTGTGGGTTTTGTGACTTTGAGGAGGACTTTGTAGATTGATGTCGGACATATGGGCTAATGTCGGGCTTATGGGCTTGGACTGGACTGGGTTGGGATGCTTAATGTACAATTACCCTTTATATAAAGCTCTCTCATAAAATATGAGTATTTATGAGTTTTGTTTCTCTAGTCTACCCAGATTAACTCAGCCCCCAATAAAAGTATTTTTAAAAAAATGTATACATAGAAAAAGAGACAGGAAACAAATATGCCCAATGCTAGTGGCTAATTCTGGTGGTGGTAGGATTATGGACAGCCACTGTTATTCTTGCTCCTCTGCTGAGTGCTAGGGACTGCCAGGTAGGAGAGAAGGGGAAGCCCTATGAACCAAGTCCAGGAAGTCTCCAGGGGCCCTGTGGGAATTGCACTTCCTCCCCCACACTCACCCACCCGCCCTGCCTTCAGGTAGTTTTTTTTTTTTTAAGCTTCTCTGGTTGGCTCAGCTCTGCAGCAGTTGTGAAATAACGTCACCCAACCCTTAGGGAGCTAATTAGGAGATAAGGTGATGAAACTTACCCTGAAAGCTAAATAACAGTTCCATAGGAATCCAGAGATGAGAGTCACTAAGGGTTGGGATGTTGCGAAAATTTCCTGAAGGAATTAAGGTGTCATAGGGACTCAAAAAATCACTTTGGCTTATGGAGGCTGCAGACATCTGTGTTTTATCATAAGTCAACCCTGTGTCAGAAACCCCGACAGGTCATTGATAGCAAGATGGAATTGGACAAGTAGAAAGGGTGGATCGAACCCAGGTCATCACAATGGTGCCCACTTCTATAGCCCTGGCTGTGCCCAGCATAGACTGAGTCTGCTATCCCCTGGTGGCACAACATTTAAGCAATCAGCCACTAACCGTAGGCTGTCTGCTTGAACTAACCCAGCCACTCTGTGGGAGAAAGATCTGCTTCTATAAAGATGCCAGCCAAGACAACCTTCTGGGACAGTTCTCTGTCACATGGGGTTTCTGTGAGTGGGAATCCACTCAACAACGCTGATGGAGGCCAGTTCTGCTGATATCAAACAGGGAAACAGATTCAAGGAGCAGGGCCATCCCCCCACCCCTAGGACTACACAGGGAGTAGCAGGGGCAAAGTCAGACCCAGCATCAGGCACCAGAGCTCTGGTGCTTCCCCACAGCCTCACGTGCTTCTGGTCACCAAGCTTTGCTCCCTCACTAAGCTAGGTTGCCTTTCAGAGTGAATAGGTGAAGCGTCTCATCTGCTTTTCTGGTGTTCAGAATGCTTCCTCATGCCCCGTGCCATTTTGTTTCACGATAATTACTGTTCTGTAAGGACACCAGTATTCATTCATTCATTCTTTCCATAAAGACTTCTTTTACTGAGTGCCACCCTCTTCTGGAGAAATACAAAAGGTAAACAGAGCCTTTATCATGTTTCTGTAAGGTAGTTTTGGCGACGGAGGGAAAGAAAGAAAGAAGGCAAAGGCAGAAAATAGTTTTAAAGGTTTATT